AGCATGATGATTCTGGGAACAAGGGATCGAAGATGGTCGAATTAGCTACCAATTTAGAGAAGAAACGCAGAATCAAACACCGATCAAGGCAAAACTTCTTTGGCCAAAATAGCTTTTTCTTCACTGAGGTTGGGAAAGTCACATATGCCATTTTCTTTTCCCTTGTAGATTATTTATTTCCTGGGGGAAACGAAATTTACATGTTGAATACTTTACATAATATTTTCCCTATTGTCAAATACTATAGGTTTAGGTTTTTTTTTTTTCTCTCGACCAACATTTCATTGCATAAACATATTACAAAGTCCATAAGATCCATAATTATACATTAGGAAACCAAGCAGTGACATAATTTGATTTCAACAATCTAGCCTTTTTTGCTAAAACATCAACTTCATTGTTTGCCCCTCCAGGGTTCCAATCAAAGATAAAACCAAGGTCTTCAACAGTCATTCTTTTGATATCCTCACAATAAGTAAAATCTTATTGGTTTCCTCCTTTTTGCTCTCCTTTCAAACACTTATTTAAGGTGTTACACAAAACCTGCGAGTCTCCAAAGAAAGCCACATTTATTTAACCATGTCTCCTAACTTGTTTGACAGCCTCTCTCAATGCATAAGCTTCTGCTTCCAAAGAGCTTGCTAACAGGTCGATTGTTGAAGCCTTCATAATGGTTATCCCCCTTTGGTCCACAAGCATCCAGCCTATTCCAACCCTTTCCTTGTCCGATATCCAAGATCCATCTACAAAGCAACACATCCTATTAGACAATCTAATAATCTCCCTTGTTTTTGGTTTTAGAGGCCTTCCAACTTCAGTAACTTTCTGCTCCTGCCAATCGTCATCCTTTTTTTGTGCCTCTATCCACTGTTGGTAATCAACTATAGCTTCCCACTGAATACAAGATTATTTCGCATTTTCCAAATTCTCCAACCAACAAATGGATAAAGAGGGCAATTTTTCAAGCAATCATCTCTCTCAGTCTTGTTCAACTCCATTAATTTCTCCACATTTTGGTTTAATTGATTGCTAAGAACTTGATTACCTGGAACGTGATCAACTGGAGCATGTTCCCAAACTTCTTTTACCACTCTA